TCATTGAAGGGATTCCTGGGTGCCTATGCCTTCCATAAAGAAATTCGAAAAAACATTGTTCTCATGAGTAGAACCCACACCTTACGAACGGCTTTATCCATGTAAAATATCCATTTTTTTTTGTCAGTGGAAAATAACATGATCTCTGAGGAAATAATAATAATAATAATAATAATAATAATAATAATAATAATAATTTGAGGTCATACGTAGGCTTAAACCAGATGAATGATCTTCAAAGATAAATATCAATGTCTCTATTCACATACATAACAGCAATATGAATAAATATTTGTGTTATCAATAGACCTAACATGCGTACATATAGTAAACTTTGAAGATAATATCTGAAAATACTTGAACCTAGTTTTGATGCTGACGAATAATAATAATAATAATAATAATAATAATAATAATAATAGTAATCATCTAAGGACAATATCTTGTTAGAACAATATGCACTCAGAAATAACTACATAAATAAAACTTTTCAAAGACTGAAGTCTGAAGAGCTAAAGACAGGGGCCATGGGGAGGGGGGATTTATTATGCTTGGCCAGGCCCAAAGACTATTCACCAGGAATTAGCAAGAAATTTCGATCAAGACTGGTGCAAACCCACTAAGCAGATTATGTGAACAACATGCAGAGATTATTAGCCGCATAGTAACTGTTTGTTCTGTCTGGATAGCGAAGAAATACAAAGATCGACATGATAAGATTAGACTGGATATTCATTTGAAAATATAAAAGGATTCTCGTGCCTACATGCTGCAAAGTGGTAAGAATATTACCCTGAAGCAGTTATATAAATCAGTATTCTTTGAAACTTTACCATTCATTCTGACAAACAAATAAACGGTAATAGACCATAAGAATTAATGGTTACAAACGAAAAACATGCTTTGTCATCGACATAACAGTGCCATCAGTTAAAAATATATATGTTAAAAATATGAACCAATTATTTAGTATAAATATCTTCAAGATAAATTGAAACATATGGAAGATTATAACTAATGTTATAATAACTGGAACCTTGAGTACGCTCAAGAACGGTGCAGAGTACGACTTTAAGAAGATTCTTGGTTGCTTGTGGCGAAATCGATTCACAACTATTGTAAATTGTGCAACAGGTCATCTACTGAAGAGAACATTATCACTGTACTCGTTGCATTTCACTCGAAATGTATATATATATATATCTGTATATTTGTTTACATATATATATATATATATATATATATATATATATATATGTAAACAAATATAGGGATATAGATCCGGCAGTATGAAGAAAAATATATGGAAATAACAAACAAAAATCCTAATATGCAATTATGTTGTTTTAATGTTAATATAATGTCAACGTCGGACGTTTTGGTCTAATAGACCATCTTCAGGATTAATAAAACATAATTAACATTTTTCATGTTGAATTGAATATAGTCTAATGTTAATTATGTTTTTATGAATATGTCCTGAAGATGGTCTATTAGACCGAAACGTCCGACGTTGACATTATATTAACATTAAAAACAAATATAATTGAATATTAGGATTTTTGTTTGTTTTTCAGTATATTTTATTCATATATATATATATATATATATATATATATATATATATATATATATATATATATATATATGAAGAAAAATACAGAAAAAACAAACAAAAATTTTAACATGCAATGATGCTGTATTAATGTTAATATAAAGTTGACGTCGGACATTTCGGTCTATTTAAGACCATCTTCATGGACATTTTTTTTTCTGTATTTTTCTTCATACTGTCGGATTTATATCCATATATTTGCTTACATATATATATATATATATATATATATATATATATATATATATATATATATATACGACTTTGCCTTACACTAGGTTTCGGTTTGTAAATTGGACAGGTGTTGTTTTAAACGGAAATCAAAACGATATAATAATGATAATAATTAGATTATTTAGTCTTAAAGAGTATTTAGACGTCTTTCGGAAATATAGTTTTTTTTCTAATAAAGGGATATAAAATGCTTTTTAGACGCCTTACATTCTTACGTGAAAAGGTTTTCACCGGAATTATTTCATATTTGCTTTGAAGCATTTACTCTGGTTCATGACATTATAAAAGGGAACATTATTGTAACAGAAATTTTAAAATTGCTTCAAATTATTCCTCTTACAGCGCAAGAAGTCTTCTTACAAAGCAATAATTTTATCCCAATTTAGAAATCAAATTTTCCAAATTAAATTATTACTCCTTAATTTTTCGAAACTCAACCCTTTGCTGTGAAATGTACAAAAATCTAGTTTCATTTACGGAAGTTTATGATACAAGTTTTCCTCAATTACTTTAGATAGAAATTTGAGTTCATAAGTTTGTGATCTTTTGTCTATTTTCTGATATCCCCAGGAAAAGGAGAAGAAATATTTGTGTATTTTCAAAGTAACCATATACTTTCAAAACAAGCGTTCTTCTGAGAAAGTGCAATCACAGACAAACATTTCTTCTGGATAGAAATTGATAGTTCAAACTTAATGTGCACATGCGCATTTTCAACCAAGAGGCAAAAACGTTTCCAAGAACTCGTACTTGCGCGTCTAGGTCAGAAGAGATATTCATATAGAAAGAACTAGGTTCTGAACGCTACCTTTAGCGTTAGATAATACTCATTGATTATCATTTGTTAAATGTCATTGGACTTTTAATAGCCTACCGCTAATCATATTTTATAAGAATTAAAATGAATCAACAGGAATTCATCTATTATAGAAGAAATAAATATCTAAAAGTTTCTCCAAAATTGCATTTAAGAACATGACAGAAACTCAATACTTGCATTTTAAAATATGACAAAAAACTCAATACATGCATTTTAAAAATATAAAAACTGAATACTTGCATTTTAAAATATGACAAAAACTCAATACATGCATTTTAGAATATGAAAAAAACTCAATTTTACGCATTATAGAATATGAGAAAATTCAATACTTGCATTTTAAAATATGACAGAAATTCAGTATTTGCATTTTAGAATATGGGAAAACCTCAATATTTGCATTTTAGAATATGAAAAAAAATTCAATATTTTCATTTTAGTATATGACAGAAACTCAATATTTGTATTTTAGAATATGAGAAAAAGTCAATACTTGCATTTTAGAATATGAGAAAAACTCAATATATGCATTTTAGAATATGATAGAAACAATATTTGCATTTTAGAATATGAGAAAAACTCAATACTTGCATTTTAGAATATGAGAAAATCTCAATATTTTCATTTTAGTATATGAGATAAACTTAATATTTGCATTTTGAAATATGAGAAAAACTCCATATTTGCATTTTAGAATATGACATAACTCAATACTTGTATGTTTGAATAGGAGAAAACCTCAATATTTGCATTTTAGAATATGACAGAAACAATATTTGCATTTTAGAATATAAGAAAAAGTCAATACTTGCATTTTAGAATATGAGAAAAACTCAATACCTGCATTTTTGTATATGAGAAAAACTCAATACTTGCATTTTAGAATATGAGAAAAACTACAGCTTTACAAGTTATGAATCTGTATTACTAATTCATTTTATTTTACAGCTTACAGTATGAAGAGAATTCGTTATAAAATGGCAACTATTTTTTATACTGGAATAATTTGTCAGTGTTAGATTCAAGACTAGAGATAAGAGTTACGGATTTGTGCTATATTACAGAATGGATGATCCATGATTCTGTCAGTCTAGATGAAAGATGAGAGATCAAACATTCTGATTTGTACTATATTCCAGAATAAAGATCTATGATTCTGATCAGTCTATATTAATGAAGGTAGATCAAAGAGCTAAATTTGTGTTTTATTCCTAAATGGAGGCCCAGAAGCTTATGTTATTATTTTTCTTTGATTACAAAAATATCAAAAATTGCATAGATATTTCAAATTTAACGAATAATTGTAGTTAACATGAATAAAGAATCAAATGGTTATTATCCAGAATTTATTTTATTATGTTATTTTCTAAAAAATCACTTCGTTAATGTTGGCCACAATAAGAAAGCCGATCACATTAGCCGTATAATAATGTAAATATTCTAACGCTCAAACAATTTTCACGGAAGAGGGCCTAGTGATCGAAACGTCTTAAATTGCTGAGGATATTACTCTGTAAATATTATGGTATAAAGACAAAACTACATCTAAAATATCAATAATGAGGAATACCAGAGAATGCAGAGATTGAAATATAGTAGGAATGCCAGTAAGTATAAATGGCGTAGTAATAACATTAAATCGTATTCGAAATCCAAGTAGCTTCTGTTCTTTTTAAAACAAATCTTGCATTTGCTTTGAACTTGAGTAAGTAATTAAAAGACAGCGATAAACTTTTTCTATTGACTCTGGTATTAAAACAATTCAGTAGAATCAGCGAAACAGAAGAAAGTCTGTTGCTTTCAAATATTGTAAGAAATTTATTTTGTTTTTACACCTGAATGTCAATTTATCTGTCGACTTTGAAACGCTTAGTCTTTTGGCAAATATTTTCTTTAGCATATTTCCATTGTTTGACATCTTAACTTCATCGTGCTTTCTTATCTACATGTAACTGCTATTATTTGGGATTGTTACATTCAGTTTCTGTTTAATTCAGAGAGCAGCCTTGTAAGGAAAAACATTTTCTAAGAAGATTTCAATAATAATGAAAAAAATAGCAATGAAAATACAAAATATAGACAGGTATATTCTGTTATATAGCAACTGTTTTTGCACTTCGAATAAAAAACATTTATACAAAAATGAAAATGATGGAAAACATATTGAAGAGTTCTCGTCTTGATTTTTAAGATTGTCTGACGTAGAAATGTGGGATGAAGATTAGATTTGCGTGAGAGTTGTTGCTGCCGACTGAGAAGGCTGGACAAAAAAAGAAGTTATACAAGGAAATCCTGACTCTCATATAGCTGCGGGACTCAAAAATCACGTGGATGAATTTTAATCGATCACCGGAAGGCATCCACATATGCGTGGACGATACCATTCTGATTTTATCTAGAATTGGCTTCTATCTCTGCAGTCTCACCGACTTTTCTTTTTCTTTCTTACTTTCTACTTTTTTATTTTATTCTTACTTTATTACTTTTTCTTCTTTTTTTTTCTTTCTTGCTTTCTTTCTTTTTTTCTTTCTTTCTTTCTTTCTAGTCTTGTTCTTTCGGTCTTTTTCATTTTGTTTTTTCCTCTCTAGATTGTTCTTTCTTCTTTTCTTTCTTTCTTTCTTTCTTTCTTTCTTTTCTTTCTTTCTTTCTTTCTAGCCTTGTTCTTTCGGTCTTTTTCATTTTGTCTTTTCCTCTCTAGATTTATTTTTTCTTTCTTTTTTTCTTTCTTTCTTTCTCTCTTACTTTCTTTCTTTCTAGTCTTGTTCTTTCGGTCTTTTTCATTTTATCTTTTCCTCTCTAGATTGTTCTTTCTTCTTTTCTTTCTTTCTTTCTTTCTTTCTTTCTTTCTTTCTTTCTTTCTAGCCTTGTTCTTTCGGTCTTTTTCATTTTGTCTTTTCCTCTCTAGATTTATTCTTTCTTTCTTTCTTTCTTTCTTTCTTTCTTTCTTTCTTTCTTTCTTTCTTTCTTTCTAATCTTGTTCTTTCGGTCTTTTTCATTTTGTCTTTTTCTCCCTAGATTTTTCTTTCTTCTTTCTTTCTTTCTTTCTTTATTTCTTTCTTTCTTTCTTTCTTTCTTTCTTTCTTATTTTATTCTTATTTATTACTTTTTTTTCTTCTTTTGTTCTTTCTTTATTTCTTACTTTTTTCTTTGTTTCTTTGTTTCTTTACTTCTTTCTTATTTTTCTTTCCCCTTTTCTTACTTTCTTTCGTACTTTTTTCTTTTGTTCTTACTTTATTACTTTTTTCTTTTTTTTTTTCGTTCTTACTTTCTCTCTTTCTTACATTCTTTCTCTCTCTCACTTACTTTCTTTTTTATTTCTTTCTTATTTTTCTCGCTTTCTTTCTTACATTCTTTCTTACTGTCATTATTCTTGTCTCTCTTTTATCTAGCTATCTATGTATCTGTATGTCTATCTATCTATCTATCTATCTATCTATCTATCTATCTATCTATCTGCTTGTTTTTGAGAGAGTAGCGTGTTTGCCTTCAACACATAGTCTGCCTATATAGTGAAACAAGTAAAAACAGAAGATGATTTCTTGCTTTTAGAAGCTTGCCGAAACACGAGCGTTTCTTTTTTTAATAACATTTATTAAATGTAATAAAATATGCTGTTTTGTTCTTACTTCATTTCTTTTTCTTTCTTTTCCCCTCTTATTTTCTTTCTTTCTCTCTCTCTCTCTCTCTTTCTTTCTTTATTTATTTCTTATTTTTCTTTCTTGTTTGCTTTCTTACATCCTTTCTTACTGTCTTTATTCTTTTCTTTCTTTCTTTTATCTATCTATCTATCTATCTATCTATCTATCTATATATCTATCTAATATGCTGTTTTCAAGTTGTATACCTACATTTGTCAATATTGTTTTATCCATTCATTCATCGTAGTCTCTTATATATTAATTTCTCCATGTTCATCTCAGTTGATTTGAATCTAGTAGATAATTTATAAATAGAACGTAAGTAAAAGCCTTTGTTCAGATTTAATGACTCCAGACCTATTGACAATAACTTAATTTATAGTAAAGAGAAAAGAGAATTTATTGGAGAGACATTTCATTGTACTTTTGATCATTAGAAAATAAAGCCAATGCCAGATTTTGAAAGACGTGGATGGTTTATAAAGGTGAAGGGTTAAACAAATAAGCATTAACTATATTCGAAATTGAAAATTCAAGAGGTTAGAGTACGTCTGATCTACTGACGTTTCCTCCTAAGTGAGCGCAGGTTCGAATCCTGCCGGAGAGCGCATATTTTTCTCTAATGGGATTTCTTGAATATTCAGAGAGGTTGACGCAAATAAATAAATATATCGTTTAATAAATAAACGGAACGTCTACTCAAATATGTGTATCCATTAAAAATAAGGTTTAAGTAATAAAAATCTATATTTATTTCTTTTCTTATTCAGCTTTTATTGATGTACGACTTTTATGTTTTTTTTTTTTTTGGAACTGTTCAGCAACCTTGATATAGTCGGGAAAGATATCAGTATAGTCAAGAACCTATACTGGCAGCAAACAGCATGCGTGCGCATAGAAAATGACTTCAGTGAATATATAAAAATAGATAGGGGTGTGTTATGGTCCTGGTTCCTTGTACCACGGTGATACTCCAAGGTAGAACCAATAAAGAAGAACGCGAACACAGGTATGGAATAAAACAGATATATTACAAACGCAGTCACATGTGGCACAAGGCCGAGTTTAATGTGGGGTTCCCGAGCCCGTAGACTCGGCCAAAAAATATGCCCATTAAACCCGTATAAATGGGTTCAGGGCCGGTTTACCTCCCCGAAACGAGACTCCGCCATTTGGTGTAGCCACGTTAGGGTTTCTTCCCGCCTGAAGGCAGAGAGTCCAACCGAACAGCCGGTAAGGAGGTGAACGACTGAAAATATTCAGTCAACTGGCGCAGTATGTGACACAAGGTCAGTTATTTATTGTGGATTCTCCGTGCCCGTGGGCTCGGCCCTAAAATTATGCCCATTGAACCCGTATAAACGGGCTCAGGGCCGGTTTACCGCCCCGAACGAGACTCCGCCCCTCGGCGTAGCTTCGTTCGGGTTCCTCCCCGCTCGAAGGCAGAGAGTTTAACCGATCTGTCGTCAACTGCCTGATTCCTTGCCTACTCCTGAGGCGCAGTATTTATTACGTATGGAATAGTCCATTATTATTATGGGTAAGATCCCATAACAGGGTGTAAGGCAGGGATGTGTCTTCTCACCGGACATATTCAACCTATACAGCGAGGCAATTCTGAGAGAATGCTCAGAGTGGGGGTTCTTCCAGGTCGCCGTCTGTTTGGTGAGGGCAAGTTCGAAATTCTGATATAGATGTAGGAAGAGATGACCGTTACTGTTACATTTCCCGGCGCTATTTTGACCAGGGGATAGCCATGCGACTTGGTCAAATCCTACACTAGCATTAAAACCAGGCATGAGCAAAATCTTATCGTCTTTGTTGAAAAGAAAGTCCGATGTTATGTCATAGTGACCCGAAACGTTCTATGACCCCTGAATCACCGTGGAGGCATTTTGTTAAGCAATATATATATATATATATATATATATATATATATATATATATATATATTAAGTTCAGATTCGGGATTTGTAAAAATATAATAGAAAAATTGTTGGGGCGCACCCACATTCTCATTAGAATGGACTGATCTCTCTACTACTAATAGGACAGTTCTATAGAGTTCTGGGAAGATCAGGTGACCATCACACTTCCGTCTCTCTACCGGAAGGTACAGTTGGACTTTATACTCTTTCTGATTGTTATTGACTAACCTGCGTTCGTTTGACTACTAATCTCTCTGTTGTAAATACCTCTTCAGATATACCAGTATTTTTCCCTCCGTATGTGTTTGTCCTTATTTCAATACACGCACGCGGAATCACTCAACATCTCAACAAAAGTAAATAGACAAAACTTCTTTTCATGGATTATTACTGCTTATATATATATATATATATATATATATATATATATATATATATATATATATATATATATATATATATATATATATTTCTCTGACTATGAGACCCGGGTTCCACGGTTGATTTGTCAGGAAGTAGAATTCCTGATGTTATCAGTCTGGTTCGATCCCAGCGTGCGGCACTTTTGGAAAGTGCCTGAAAACCATACCACGGGTTGACCCAAGCCATGTGAATGAAATTGGGTAGACGGAACCCTTAAGGGCCGTTGATAGCTGTGCTAGCAAGAAGTCACAAGTCATCGTGACCGAGGGTTTGAGTGAGCTGGCCTTGTTCAGATTGTTGATCACGCTAGATAACACGCCCTCTCCCAGAAAGAGTGAATAAGGTCTGCTCAACATAGTTGTAGTATAAAACACAGTTTGGCTCTGTCGGTGTTGAACAAACTCAAATGTGCTTAAGTGGGCGTTTGCAATAGTGATTGACGAACCGCCCTAATATGCGGGTATCCTCGAATAAGAGTGGCCAGCTACATACATACATACATACAAACATACACACACACACACATATATATATATATATATATATATATATATATGTGTGTGTGGGGGGGGGTGTCTGTGTCTGTCTTTGAGTGAGTGTTTATGTATGTGTGTGTGCGTGTGTTTAAGCTCAAAATCTCATTCATTTTTACTGCTACAAAAATATATTTTTACAAATGTTTAAATTAAACTAACTGATTTGTTTCGTTTATTGTCTCTCTGAAATTGACATGTAATAAAGAAGTTGAAAGAAACACGACATGACGATACATTCAGAAGGGGCTGTACAGACGGGCCTCTTTTTCCTCCTGTTCATCTGGGCCTTTTCATTTCTTCAGTCAGATTGAATGCTGTCATGTTAATGCTCTCGATACGCTCGAAGGAGAAATGCGATTGTTAAAATTTGTCACAGGCCATTTAATATTAATATTTCCTCCGGGGAGGTAGACAGTCCCTGAACCTGTTTATGCGGCTTCTAAGGGAACATTTTTGGCTGTATCTACAGGCTCGGTGAACACCCGGTAAACTCGGCCTAGTTCCACATACATCCCTCGTGTTGGGGCTGTTAAATATAACAGTCGAATAGATTAAACGTTGGGTCAGCCGACACACACTCACTAGTCTTGTAATACTCTTCTGTTGTACTGACTGTTTAATATATGATATATCTGCAACATGTGTTTTGTTATTTCTTTAACATTTTACTTGGTCACAACACTTCGGTTTCTCACATTCTGCATAATCTTTGCTGAAAATCTTTCTGTGCAAATTATGGCCGATTCATATCCTGCGCAGAATCTAGTACCAACAGGATGCCCAGGTAACTGACATATGCCGATGAGATCTACACTCTTGAAATCAGGATTTGCAGGAAGTTAATGCGGTTGTATGAGACGGTAGACGGTAGACATTTTCTGGTTTGGTCTTGAGAGATAGTTTGGAGAGATAATTTCGGCGCAGTTAATCTTTGAATTGAAAGAAATCTTTCCTTAAACTGGGGCACGAACTTTGTATTTCTCACATAGATCTCTTCATCTTTTAAAGACTATCAATACACCTGTTTACCGATGTAGATGAGCTGTAGAGAATTGTTTTTAAGCCTTTTTGCAGGGTGTCACACAGCACCGATATGTAGATTTGTTAAAGGATTGAAAGCAGAGGACCATAGCAAAGATGAACATTGTAGACAAGCGCTGCAGTTTACTGAGCACTATAGCAATTAAGTGGCGCCACGGTGGATAGCGGCTCGGATTGAAGATTCTGAGAGACGTGCTAATACCCTTGGGAAAGGCATGAATCCCCTTCTTCTCCCACACCCAGCTATGGGTTTTTAGCAGGACAGACCGCGTTATAGTGCCTTAGATGGCAACTGGTCTACCGCAGAAAGAAATGGCAACCTGCTGCGGAAAAAATCTACCTTGTCAGTCATGTATCGAAAGATATATGTTTGCCTAAGCGCGTATCACATATGGCATATAACTGATACTAATTAACGGGATTCATATTCCTTGAGGACTGCCAACAGCAGCAGCAACAAAAATCAATAGGACATGTAATGCGAAGAGAAAATAATGGCAGCATTAAGATATTAATATTCTACCCTACTTCAAATAAAAGTATTAGGAAAGAACCTCCTATCAATAATGGAAATAACTATAACAGCTACTGGGCTTGTTATGCTGACAAACTGTTTTAAGAGAAAGATTTTATACATTTCAACCGAAAGCAATACTGGCTGCTCGGTCAATGAATGCCACATGTTTCCTTATATGGAAACGGCTAATAATCATTACGATTACCATATATGTACATTTTTGTCTTGGAAGTCAGTTTAGTTTGTCAGAACTTAGGTCCCTTGATTGAAATAATTAAAAAAAAACGTATGAATTTATTTACTAGCTGTTAAATAAATAGTTATTTGGTTGACGTGAAACATGGTACTTCAATATAAAATGGCGACAATTTACCCATTGCTTTATGTATGTATCTGCGTATATCTACAATCAATTTGCTTTTATCTTGTCAAGTAATTTCAAAGAACCATTTCATACATCTTTACTAACTAATTATTTTCCAACGCTGATTTACCTTTTGCAAGATATTCTTTCATTAAACTACTTACCTTTATATGTCAAATCAGTATTAAGATCTATTTGAATGCTTTAAAATTGAAATATCATTATTAATTTTAGAATTTAAAATTTAGATTTCGTACAATTAACTGGAATTTTAATTACATCAGCGCCTAGTATAGCGCCATTCATCTCATCTGCAGAAATAGATGTTGCTAATATTAAAATATAACACTGTTAGAACCTAATACGTATTTGTTTTACATATCAATGAAAAATGTAGTGGTTGATCGTGTTATACTCAGTGAATAGTCGTGCTGAAAT